AATTACATACCAGCGGCTTTTGGATGTAGGGAGGAATTGATACTTTCTACAATCCCACTTATCCATTGCTTGTAACCGATAGACCTTCCCGTTCTTATTCTTGGGGGAGGCTAAACGATCTCTTGTCCATTGTAGAACTTGACGAATGTAACGCACTCTGCCTCGAGCGCGGTAATGTGATGTTTCGACTCTCTATGTCTCAGTAGCGCAGTTGTAGTGTTGAACTTGGACGCACATACATTGCAGCGCGTCTTGTAGATAGCTAAAGATGCCATGTTTGAGATAAGTGCTGAATATGGACGAACGTTAAGGCCGCTAGTAAACTAGTACTAAAAAAGCACAATAGGCCGTTTTTCATTGTAAGGAGGTCTTCTCACACCTCTTCTTCCGGAGGTTTTCCGAGCTACGCAGAACTTCTAGAATTTCATTAATAGCGCTTTGATACCTGCATTAGTGTAATTACTTGCAACGCTTTCAATAGCTGGACATTTCACTCTCGTTTTTTGCTGATTACTTTGAATTGTATATCTGGTAAAAGTGTTCGTGAAGTCTGCTATGGCCAGGAACAAACGCAGAACAGTGAGGGACAAAGAGAAGCTGAAAAAGATCAGAAAGGAAGCACGAAAGAGGTGGAGGCAAAAAAAATCCGCGAAGAAAGCGATGAAAAAGCTAGCAGAGGAGAAGAAGCGCAACGAAGATAAGGAGCGTCGAAAGTTCAAAGAAATTAACCCATCGCTAGTTGTGAGGACGACGAAGTTTCTTGGCGCTGGAACATTTGGCAGTTGCTACCTAGCCTTTTACAGAGATATGGTGGTAGCTGTCAAAGAATTTAAAAAGAGAAAGAACGTCGACCTCGCTCACCTGAGAAGCGAAGTGCGCCACGAAGCGACCATGATCAAACACCTGAAAGATCACCGTGGTGTCCCTCTACTCTTTGGTATCGTAACCAAGAGCGAGCCCATTCGACTTGTCACCAAGTTCCACGGGAACAAAAACAGAGGCCTCACTTTACACAAAGCCATAAAGAAAGAAACATTAGAAAAGCCTACTTGGCTTGAAATTTTAAAAAAACTTATCGAGGCGTTAAACCACATTCATTCGTGTGGTATTCTTCACAACGACGTGAAGAGCAACAACGTGGTAATGGAGCAACGAGGAGAGGAGTGGAATCCTGTGATCATCGATTTTGGGAAAGCTCGTTTCTCGTCAGATTCCGGCGATGTCCTTGTCTACCCATCAACAGGAGAAGTATCGAGAACAATATCCACACATTGCCTCCGAAATTGTCAACGGGAGTGGCAGGCAGAGTGCCCAA